ATTGGAAACTTAGAAGCACAGGAGAGAGAAAATGAAGCATACATAGTAATAGGGACATTTTTATTGACTAGTAATTTCCAAAAATGTATGAAAGATGTCCACCTAGGCAGTGGCTACAGAGTACAATGTGGTAATGGTGATGACCGAGGGGCAGCTGTTGCATGAAGAAGCCAAGAGAGAGGCAGAGTCCTTAAAGAAACAAAGAAATAGATGCTAGGGCAAGAAAGATTGTAGTGCAATTTACAGCTGTTATTCACACACCATAGATTTGTGTCCTAAAAATACGAGTGATTATAGAAATTGTGTAGCCATGCTACTGGTGCTGGGGAGTCTCTGGGAAGCTCTTGCAGACACACAGCAGTCAGTGAAGTTGGATGACTGCTTTGTCTGGGAACATGTATGAGAACGCAAGTGCACCTCTCTCAAGAATGCTATGGCAGCATGTCACAGTTTCCAGAGAGCTCTAGAATGGGATCACAGAAATATTCAGGCACAATATGTATTAAGAACGCTAATGCAGTAACAGGATATGAGAAAATAGCAGAAATGGATTTTGAGAAGTCAGATTTTTGGATGGCTGTTTTCTGCATGGACCATGCCCTAGAATTTCCCCTTCCTACACTCTCTTCAAAAGCCTCAAAGCAGAATGTCTAGCAATACAGGGTCATTATCTACAAGCACAGTTTGTGGCCAGAAATAGTACATGGATGGATTCCACTAAGGCTGAGGCTCTGTACATGCAAGGTCTGTGCTGTTGAGGCCAATGCAGCCCTCAGCCTTCCAGCCAACACTGCTGCCTCCTGACTGTTAATAATGAGAAGTGGCACTGCAGTGAGACCAGGACAAGCTCTTCCAGTTCTCTGGACCCAGCAAGCTCTACTTGTCCTGAAAGGAGGGCAAATTTACCTATTTTCCTTTTCCATCTCCTACACGAAAGTCTAAAAATGCCCCTTGCAGGAAGACACAGGCACAAGATGATTAATGGTTCTTGCCATTGTACAGTGAAGGAACTGCACAACTGTAATGGATAGAAGCATTTTATTCTCTCCAGAACCTTTCACATCACACCTCCCTTTGCCCTGAAGCTCACATACATCTGGGGAATAAGGGGGAAGGAGCTTCTATTTTCTTTGCTGCTTTATCCAAACCTCTACCCTTCTTACTCTTTAAAGAATGGTTACAAAAGGTGCCTCCCTGCTATTCCTGCCTGTCTCTGTTTTGTTGGTCCAGATGAGACCTCAGGGAAGGAAGTATCTCCCTACCTCAGGCAGACTCCTTGCTGTAAGATGAGGAGTTGTAAGTTCTCCTTTAGCTCTGGTTCCAAGATTCCCATTTAAAGATTCCCAGATTCTCATTTTCCTTGAGAACGCTTCTTCATCTTCTTCTAAAGCTCTTTTGTGGCAATAAATCTATTTTGGCAGAAAACACGATCATGAATATGCCCCACCATGACCACTAATATCAAAATCTGTACCCCTTCCTTTCATTTATCCTAAGTCTTATCTTCCCAGTGAGATCAGAACTATCCCATTGGGGAATTACTGCTCTCTAGAGAGACCTCCAAAGCACACATAGGCACAATCAGGAGGCTACTTGGTGAGAATGGAATTACAATAAATGGGATCAGCTCAATCCAACATTTAATAGAAAGGTGGCTGGATCTACTCAACCTCCTTGCCTAGGGGCAGCCTCACATGCTGAACTGGCTCCATATCTGCTGTCTTGGGCTCCATCTCTACACTCGCATGATGTTGGGATGGGCATGCCCATGCTGGCCGCCTGCTCCCTTCACTGTACTTTTACTACTGATGAGCCCTGTTTCAGATAGACATTTGCTGCAGATGTACTTCTATGTTCAGTTGGGTTCTACTTGAATCTGATACACCAAGAAGTCATCTGGTCCTCGCACTGCTCTGCTCCATTACATGTTGACCTTGTTGGCCTTGTTCTGGAATGTTGTCATGTAAGAAGTTTTCCACTGCATCATATGTTCTCAGGGAAGAGGCAATGCTCCACTATGCCCTTACTAAATGGAGACAAATGTCACAGAAGGACTAGGTCCAGAAAAACTGAAGAATGCAGGAAAGACTTGAATATACTTTTGACAGAGTGGTGGGACTTCTGCAGGCAGGGTGAAGTAAGGAACGTTTAGGTGGGTGTGGAGAGGTCTGCTTCGGCTGGAACAGAAGGCTGCCATGACAGTGGAAAAGGTCAAATGGGCAAGTGATTAGGTGGTTGAACTGGAAGGGGAGAGTTCAGATTCTTGGCTTATTAAGTTATTCATTTGATATTTTAGCCTGTGAAGAAAAATGATAACCATTACATAATCAAGTGAAAGTAAATGGAAGAAGGTTCCAGGAATGGGTTACTGTACATAGTACCTGCTTTAGAGCAGCCAGAGGAAGGATCGAGTGGCAGTGTTTTAACTAAACCTAAGTTGATAGTGTCTCAGACACCATGGAAGGAGGAGGCTGTGGGTACCTAAGGGTATCTACAAAATGGAATTTCTGACTATTGGCTTTGTCATTTCTCTCCAGAGGGAAAACAAGCCCTTGAGAGTAAAGATTATATGAAATTGGCGAGCATATGAAATTGACACAGCTCTGGATTGAAGTTTTCTATTGTGTCAGCTCTGGCCATCACATTTAACTTCTCAAATAGTTGGGTAGTGTGTTGTCTTGATTGTAATTCCTCAAACATATGGATGTGGGGCCCTTTTAAAAACCCCAAATACACAAAGCACAGTTCAGTATTAGTGACTGAAGAGGAATGTCAAGTCAGAGGAGTAAAGTGGTTTAGATTTTTGGCTTGTGGGTGCTGAATCTATGGAAAAGACAGGATGCATTCAGGAAACCTGAGTTAATCATTGTCTTACCTCCATGACACAGAGAGTGATAATGATGACCATCACTACCACCAAGGCAGACGTAGCTAAGATGGGTTTTTTCTTATACCTATATTCTAAAATGTCTTCTTTTGTGAACAGTGGAAGAAAGAAAAAAGAAATCAGGAAAGAGTGAGAAAAAGAGGAAAAAAGAAAGAAAAGAAGAAAGAGAGGAAGAAAGAAAGAAGGAAAGAAAAAAGAAAGAGAGAAGAGAGAAAAAAGAAAGAAAGAAAGGAAGAAAGAAAAAGAAAGAGAAATTTTTGTTGAATAACAGACAGGAAGAATGAAAGTTTACTATTCAATATCTAAGTCTTCAGGGTGAGTAGTTTGAGGCTTAAAAATATATCGAATCTAACCTGCTGCACATCTTATTACTGTGCAGTTTATCCTATGCTTTATTTTGTGGGTTAGTTCACTTTGTTTCCTAAAGGAGTGAAGTGGGGATCACTGTCTTGGCCAAGGCTGTGTGGTCGAGACAAGAAGATACTGACTAGGAGGCTCTGGTCTTTCTACTTGGGTGTATCATACTGGACCCTCATGTGGGTTGAGGTGGTTGTGCTCACCTCCCTTGATTCCTCTTGGGCTTCTATGCCATCACTGGTGTAGTTCTCACTTTTCTACTGGTCTGCATCCCATTGGGCCTCGGACAATTTGACTTCTTGTTGTTCACTGAGAAGCTTCATTAAGAGGTTCATGCTAGAGATGAGCTTGTCACAGGGTAGTTGCACCCAGGTCTCAGAACAGCACAGTTTTAAACATCAAATAATGTGAGATGTGAACCTTCTCATGTTGTTATTGGAGCTGGGGTTTAGCTGAGTTTCAAACTGATCACCTGGGATGACAGCAATGGGGAAGTGAAGTCTTGGGGAGAGGTGAATAGGTGCCCATGTTGGAGTACTCTCAATGTGTCCCACTGGTCTGATTATCAGCTGACATTAGGCCTAATGTAGCCACAGTAGAATCTGTAGCAGATACAGTAGTGTCTGTTGCAAAATCATTTCATTCAAAAACAGCTCCTGCAGGAGTGCTTTCTACAGTAGGTTCTAGAGGAGTACATAATTCAGAGAGAGGACTCTCCTGAACATGCAGGTCCTTTGACAGTGAAAAGAACTCTCATGAAGGGAAACTGATGAGGCTCTTCACTTCTGAGAATGGAGGTCTCTTTGCAAGCCTTAGTCTATTGCATGCACTTTCCTCTGTGAGCTGTTCACTTGTGTGTTCTGTGGGACAAAAGAGAGTGAGTTTTAGGAAAGTGGTGACTTTTTGGGAATGCAGAGGTGTAGTTTTTGTAACTTTAGCATGTAATGTAATAACTGCTCAGCAAGGGACCTTTCAAAGAGGAAGAGATGGCCACATTCTGCTTCTCTGTGGGTAGGAAGTTTCTGGCCAAGCTCCCGGGCCTCAGCACCCCTTCCAACAATGCTGCTCCAGCTCCCTTGCACTGCATCTCCTGAGACTTCTTTCTTTGGCCATGTCCTGCAAGAGTGGCTGGGTGCTCTGGCTCTCCACGATGTGTGTTTTTGCCTTTTCTTATGCCCTTTGGGCTCTTGAGGACCCTGTCCACTGTCCAAAGCATTCTCCTTTCACATCGATTCTCCCTGAGACTATTTTCCTGTGCACAAGCACCTGGCATTTTAAAAAACGAGACTTAGCATTTCAGTTTGGGACCTAAAAGCCTAGACAGCCTAAGTATATTTTCTCTTCTTTTTCTTTTTTTTTTTTTTTTTTTTTTT